TGATAGGTGTGAATGCAAGGTCTTTTGACGAGTGTGAAAAAACAGTGTGCAAATCTGTTTGTCACCCCGACCACAACAGTATTGCATGTGGTGATTGTCTCCTTATATGCGCCTCCCCTTCTCTAAGTATTCAGACTCTCCTTTTATCTATTACTAATTTACTTTCATATCAACCTCGAGTCTGATGTAGACTGTAAAACATATCCGATCCAGTTTTCTATTTACTTTAATATCTACCCTCCAAGTATTCAGACTCTCCAGATTCATTTTGATAACCTTTTAAAAACATCATATAAGATTTATAAATATTATATATATATATATATGTGTGTGTATATTTAAAAATATCACAAATTATATACTTTATGTACTCTAAAATGTTGGTGAAAATAAAAGTAAAATATTATTTGTTATAGTAATTAAAAAAAAAAGAATATTAGTCGTTTCAGTATTTTACGTATTGTAATTGCTATTTGAGATCTCTAATATTCTGTATTTTTATTGTATGAATTAGACTGAAAACTTTAGAAACGATGGTTATAATTTTCAGGTGCGAGCAAAATTGATCAACGGGATTTGTGTCTTAGGAACTGTGATATTAGTTGTCAACCGGACAAGGGCTGCTACCAACGTTGTATTAAACACTGTCCAAAACCAGCTTTGATTTGAGCTCATATAGTTATGCAACAGTTGTGAGATTTTTCTTTTCAATGATGTAGTCATTTATATCTTGAGTCTCTGATTTTGGGATGTAACCGACTTGAAAAGATTATGTTTTACAGAGAGAAATATTTTTAAAACATTAAATAAAATTGGATTGTGTTTCACAAAATACAAAAACCCTTGCTACTACTGTTGCGCCCTACACATCCTATCAGATTGGGTTTGAATTTCAAATGACACCTCATAGGCTTTCAAAGACTGATCAGTAGCCTCTTTCCTCTATTCTCCTGACTTGAATTCTGCAAGATAACATTAGTAAAAATATAATATTTTTGTAAAGCTTAGTTATATCATGCAATGACATAATATAAAAATTAAAGAGATTTAAGACTTTAGCTGGTCTCATGTCTTTAGATATATAGATTTTGTAGAATTTAGTCTACTAACTAGAACGTATATGAAGTTTATAAAAATTACTAGTTGTAAAATTAGAAATGATGCCAATGTATCATAAAAAGATGTTTAATATATGTTAATATAAATTTAGAGTGTGATTAGGTATTTTAAAAACAACATTAACGTAGCTAAACTTTAGTATAGATATCATTTATTGGAAAAAAATAATCTTATCGTAAGATAAACTAGGTTAAGACCCGTACCTTGCACGGGGTGATATTAAAATTATATTAACAAATAATAATATTTTTTCATAATTATTATTTGTAAATTGAGGTGTTCAGTCCGGTAAAACTTCACTAATTAAAATCTAATCAAAATTAAGAAAGTAGTTTGGATTTGATATCATCAAATATACCAAATGAATGTTTTTAAATTAAAAAACGGCAGTATATGGATATATGTAAGTAAAAATTAATTTAAGAACTGTAAAATTGACATAAATACACATGCATTATAAATTGTTAAAAGTGTTTTATTTTTATTTATATGTGTAACTAACAGAAAAACGTAATGGAATTTGCACAGTGTATCATATAATACGCTATCACACCATTTAAACATCGATTTTGAAATAAATAATTGAAGTCCATGTAGATAATCAAAAGTTTGGCACAATATATTTTTCGTTGATATTGAAAGGTCCATTGAACAGATTCAACTTAAAGTTTGTCAGTTATAAAATATTAAAACTATTAAGACATCTTCATTAACTTTAGGAGCCAAATAAGTAAAATTAGAAGTTTATGACAAATCTATATTAAATTTTCAAATATTGGTATCATTAGTGCATATTTGGACTTGTCATCAGTTAAAATATTTACATTCCTTAAAGTTGTATCTACCTAAGGAAACGCAACTAAACCGAATGAAGAATTTTCTTGGTTAAACAAAAGAAATTCTTTGTAATTAAAAAAGAAGAAGACAATTTCACATACTTTATTTGAGTTTAACCACAGCAAATACATTGGTTCATATACACCAGCCATCAGATGCGTGGCCCTTGATATGAACAATTTCAGTTCTTTATGAATCCATACACATCATTATAAAATCTACAAATAATTATTCTACAACAATATACATAGAAGTGTATTGTGGAAAAATGGAATGAAGTAATCATTAAACATTTTTTTGAACTTTCAATAAGCAGTTAGTTAACCCAGAACATAGTATTTACATAGTTCTACTGTATTTATGAACTATACAGATTTGTATAAATTAATACACATCATTATAAAATCTGCGTATAAGTTTTCTGCAACACTATATATAAGTAAAAGGATTTGAAAAATGGAACGAAACAATATTTCAAGCATGTTTTCTGCATGGTCATACATAAAGCTTGATAGTGGATTTAAATAAATATATTGCTTGGTTATGATTCTATATATATAGTAGTAGATTTAGTTCATTGTTAAGGCAAAAAAGAAATAATGTAGGCAAGAATATTAAATCAAATCAGTTATAAACATACAGTTTGAAATATATATTTCCTTTAGTTTCGAGTGGAGCTAAACCTTTTTTGTAGCATAACATGTAAATAATCTAGTATTATTTAATGAATATTTATAGATAATCGCTACATGATATATTAAAAAACGCAAGTATTGTTTTCAGAAACTAAATAATCTTAACTTTGATCTTTCGCATGGACTTGAAAAACTTCAAATCGTAAAGTTTTATCAAAACCTGTTATTGTAAATACTAAGATTGCAAAGTGAATATTTTTGGTCACATACTAAACTTGTTTATATAGTAGAATCCTGTAAAAAAAAATATATTCTTAACCTTGATCTTCCACATGGACTTGAAAAACTTCAAATTGTAAAATCATATCAAAACTCGTTTTGTAAATACTAAATTTTCAAAATGAATATTTAGAGAAGAGTGTAACTTGGAATGCATTCTTGGTCACGGTATGGACTTGTTTATATATTAGAACCCTGCACTTTTAGCTATGCATTCTATAATACACGATAGTTATTACATGTAGCTTTACAATTAAATGTCTAATACTATTTTATTCTATTTCAAATAGGAAGATCTTGAATCACTCACGTGAGTTTGTCTAAACTCATTTGTCAGATTAAGAAACAAAGTAATTGTCTTATTAAATGTAGTCAATTTTCCAATTGTAGACATTTCCGTGACTTGCACATTCCTATCAATCATATATAATTTCGGGATCAGCAGAAAGTGAGAATATAGAAAGAGTAACAAAATTTATAATTACGTGATCACTTACCTATGTGAGTATTTAGAAAGAGTAATTATGAATATTTAGAATATTTTAAATTTCATTCTATGTACTAAATAAAACATAATTTCCAATACGAATATCCTTGTGCATAAATCATGATTACTAAATATTTTAAATCAGAGTCTGCAATTGAAAGGCTAGAATTATCTTGACTATAGTTTACATATAGGTATCAATACATTTGAAATTCTTTTAACTAAAAACTTGGTTAGTGAATGATCTCATAATAATATACATTATTTTATATACATTAACATGCAATGTATTTTATATATATATATATATATATATATATATATATATATATATATATATATATATATATATAGAATGCTTAGGTTGTTTGCTCTACAAACCAACTAATAAAGATAAGAAAATAGTATAATGATGAAAATGTCTAATAATATTTTCTTATATTTTAAATATGAAAAGATCTTGAATCACTCACATGATTTTGACTAAGTTCATTGGTCAGATTAAGAAACAAAATAATTATAATATAACAATTTATGCAGAATATATCATATTTTTAATGTTATACAAATGTTCAATATCACATATAAATGATAATATACGAATTTAGGCAGAATGTATCACGGTATATTCTATGAAACCACATATGTTATAGAGATTTATTTTTTCCTGTAGTTCCCATCGAATATTTGCATTTACGTTTCGCATTTACTTATAACATGACACATCATATTATCAGACTCTAGAAAAAAACGTTGTATAACTGACACCATGTATAAGCTTGTTTAATTATATGAATTTAGAATGCATATTCCATAGTTGTAGTACCAATGGCACTCAGCGTAATTAGTCTAATCTTTTAAGGATGGTTCTAATAGAAGGCTGAGAATGCATGAGAATCCGACACGTCATCAAAATGGCAACACTGTAATTAGTTTACTCAATGAAGGTTATTCTTTCAAATTGCTTCTTGATTAATAATAAGGGGATAAAAAAATATGATATTTTGTTTTAATGCATAACTTTATCATGCACTGATATGTGAGGAAGATAAAGAGGTGTGAGATCTTATTTGTCCATTTTTCTTTAGAATATAGTGATTTTATAAGGATTACTCTATACTGAATTAGGTGGAATAAGAAGTTTTATTAAATTATTCATTAGATTAGTAGAAACGATGCCTATGTACCATTTTCATGTTTAACATTCATTAATATAAATGTGTAATGTGATTAGATATTTTTTTAATCAACAAGAATGAACTTAAATTTCAGTATATAACATTTATCGAAAAACTCGATCATTTTGTAGGGATTAACTCACAGATTTCAAAATAAATTAGAAAATATGGTATTTTTTTCATGCATAGATGCATCCAGCACATATATATGATGAATATCAAAGATTTCTGCCACATTTTTTGTCTCAATTTCTCTAAAATATATAAGATTTCATAGAGTTTGTTTCTTGATTTACGTGGTATATGAAGTTTTATTAACTTATTCGTTCGAAAATTATAACTGATGATCATGTACCATGGAAATTAATTTAGGATACCTTAGTATAAATTTTTAATGTGCTAATAGTTTAAACAACATTAAAGAGACTAAACTTAAGTTTAAATAGCATTTATCGAAAAACTCGATCTTTTCATAGGGGGTTAACTTACTGATTTCAAGATAAATTAGAAAATATGAATTTTTTGTGTTTATGTATATCTGCATCCATCACTGATATATAATGAATATAAAAGAGCTTTGATACCTTAGTTATCCAAAATTCTCTAGAAAATAGAGATTTCATAAGGTTAGTTCATTGATTTTGGTGGTACATGAAGTTTTATTAAATTCCTCGGTTGAAAATTAGAATTGATGTCCACATACCACGAAGATACGTTTAGTACATTCATATAAATTTTTAGTGTGGTTAGATATTTTTAAACAAAACTAAAGAGGTCTATATATAACATTTATCGAAAATTTTATCTTTTGATAGAGGTTAACCCAAATATTTTAAAATAAATTAGAAATTATGGTATTTATGTTTTAATGCATATATGCATCATACACTGACATATTATAGAGTTTAAAGAGGTTTGAAACCTTAGATGATCACATTTCTCTAGAAAAGAATAGTTTTTATAGGGATTAATTCACTTATTAGGTGATATGTGAAGTTCAAATAAATTACTCGTTGCAAAATTAGAAATGATGTCATGTACCATGAAAATAAGTTTAACATATATATATTTTATAGTGTGGTTATGTAATTTTTAACAACACTACATAGACTAAATATTATAAATAGTA